AAAGGAGAAGGCAGTGGAGGAAGAGATGAGATGGATGTATTTACGGAGTAGGATTGGCGGGATGGGCAGGACAATGGGCTGCTCAGTAAGCTGCATCCTTTAGGGACACTGGTTATTGCTGTCTCTGTGGTGAGTGCTGGGCACTGAGTATGTCAGATGGTCCAATGGCCAAGATCTTCCTTTCATGGAAATCACTTTGATCTGATGCTAAAGGCTCTCCAATAGTTAAGAGTTTGGGCGCCAAAGCTAGACTATCTAAATATGAATCCCAGCTCCTCTACTTACTAGTTATTTTATCTTATCAAGTTACTTGATCCCTTTCTCCCTCAGCTGCATCATCTGTAAAATGAGGATAACAGCCCCTGCCTCATAATTTGTGAGGATTAAGTGATATAGTACATGTAAAGCATTTAGAAGAGTCCCTGACACATGTGCTTAATAAATGCTGGCCTTATATTTGTCACTACTTGACAGAGGCTCACTTCCTCTTGCTTGTTCCTCCAAAGATGGCAGAAAATTGGTTGGTATCCTTCCTCTAAGAACCAGCCATCATCCTTTAGACACTAACAGGTTTCTCTTTTCCACACACAGTCTGGTCCTTCTTTTGTTTGTGGACCCGACTCCATTGCCGTCCACCACAATCAGAATTTAAAGATGAGTACCTGGCAATTGAGGGGTCTTCCTCAGTGGCTTAGGGAACAATCTTGTGAGGGGAGTTTGTTTCTTTCCATTAGATATGACAGTAGTATGACCATATGTTTCTATCTTTGCAAATGATTTTCAAAGCACTGCCATATGCCTCTATGCTTGCAAATTTACCTGCGGTGAGGAATCTGATTTCTAAATCTTGCCTGGAATCAAGCTAGAGTATTGGCGAACTGAATAATCTGGGAAATAAAGAACAAAATGTTAATATTTTCCCTCTGGCCCTCTGCAAAATGCTTCCCACCTCTTCAGTGTTTCTGGGAGTCTTTAGAACACCTCACATGGACTTTCCAACAAGTCCTCTGTTCATACCCCTCTCTTCTGACAGGTATCAGCTTCATGTGCTGTTCCACCAGATTCTGGGGTTCTCCTGCCAGTCTTCTAGGCATCTGCAATCAAGGGAGACATAGAGTCATCAGAGGTCTCTTCAGAGCGTATGGAGCTTGAACTGGTCTTGAGTGACAAGTGGAGTTCTAGAGATACATGGGCCTATCTGGGAAGCAGGGACAGGCCGAGCAAGTGGTGGAAGCAGGAATGGAACAGATGAGTACACCACTGGGCTGGGACAGGGAGGAGGTAAGCTGAGCTGAGGAGGAGAGCTTTCAGTGAGAAGGCAAGCAGGAGAAGGCCATCCTGAAATGGTTCATGAGGAGGCTATGTGAGAAGGCCACCAGAGAACTGAGGTTTCTTTTGACATGGAAGTGGGGGCCCTTGAGTAATATTCCAGGGCATCGTGGACTATTTAACAGAACTGTTGGTTATATGTTCTTGGGACTTTGGTTCCCCTCAGAGGTGCACTGCCATGTCTACTTAGATATTCTGAGGATTTTCTTTTCACATTTGTAAAAGAAATGTTTTCATTATAGAAGAATCAAATAAGTAAAAAGAAAATAAAAAACAATCCCACTCACCACTCACCAGAAGCAACTGCTGTTAATATCTCACTGCGTATTTTTCTAAAGTACCTTATAAGCATATATTTGTAATGTATATTTAATAAAATTAGGGTTATACATGCTGTTTTATAAGGTACATTTTTCACATAATATATTGTGAATAATGTTCTGTGTTAATAAACATATTTCTTTGATGAGGTTTTTAATAGTTGCACAGTTGGTGACAGTATTCTTAAGGTTTACCCAGCCTTCTGGAGTAGTGAACTTTGCCTTCCATTTCAGAGATTTTATTTTCTGTAACAGGAAAAGAAAATATCCTCTGTAATTAAGAATGGTATCTAGATGTATTGGACATTGCCAGGAAACATGGTAATTTCTCTCTTTTTCTTCAGCCATACTGCAGTGGCTGGGGGAAAGAGCTCTATTACATCTGTGGCAAAGCTCCCTGGCTACATGTATTAAATTCTAATTCCAAGTGAAAGGGCAATACATGTTTACTTTTTCTGAAAACCACACAGGAGTAGATACTAATGAGTTGCAAACATCACTGTTTATCCTGAGAACAGAAGACTTCTGGTATTTGCGCAGGCTGAGCTGCCCAGAACATGGCAGGATTCTCATGGGCAGAGCCATTAAGATGTTGACTGATCAGGTCTTTATCTGGGGGCTTTTGGGGCATAGAAGCCTTGGAGCAAAGAACGTGTTATCAGCCATGGTACCTTTTCCAGATATGATTCTGAGCCAACAAGAGCATAAGACTGACCAATTGTATTAATTCCTGGATTTATTCCTAAGTGATTTTCTCTACGTAACAAGCCTTCTGAATGTTGGCTTGGTGGCAAGGGAAGAGAGGAGGTGTTCTTTTTGCCTCATCTCTCTTTTTCCTTGAATTCACTCCCCCACCCCCATGTCATTCAATGGCTTTGTGTCTATGTGATGTTTTTGATGCTGTTATGTTCTGTTTCCAAAGATCACTAGGCATCTCACAGCAGGCACTAAGGGACTCCAACTGGCATTAGAAGATATTTAGAATCAGAGACGACTTAGAAAGATAAATAATATCAAATACTTAGTGGGCATTTATGATGTAGTTTGGTGTTTTATATTTATAATTTCACTTAATTCTTAGAAGAATCCTATTATTTGGCTATTATAATTATCCCTACTTTATAGATGAGAAAACTGAGACTCAGAAGATAGGTAACTTGCCAAACCCCCACAGGTAGGCAGTTGCAGAACTGGAATTCAAACCAGGTCCATCTGAATCCAGAGCCATTTCTTACCTACATGGCTCTTCTGTCTCATTAAGTTTAGAAGTGAAGGAACTGGAAGGACCAACAACAAAATAAACCTAATGTAAGGTCGAGAGAATTGCTGACAAAAAGATACATCTCATTCTTTCCCCATGTTTAATGTCAATTTTTATACCTTGGCTAAGACTGCCTATTATAAAGCTATATTTGCTCAAGGTTATCTTCTTCCTACCCTGCCCCCCTCATCAGATGATTTTTATTTATAGCTATGCTTAAAAACGTCATAGGCAACAGTCAAGATTTGCTGTATACTGCATTTGCCATCTGAGCAGATTCTTTCTCAAGGCATATTTGCTTCATTCACTCTCTGGTTTTTGCCTAGAAATTAAAAGAACAATTCTTTTTGGTTCGGTTTTAACTTTGTTGCAAGTGTTCCTCAGCTCCAGAACAGAGATGTCAGGCCCAATTAGTTAAGACCAGATTAATCAAACTGGATTTTCAGATCCATTGGCTATTTTCAATTAAGAAAACATTCTAGATCTCTTCTAAAGGAAAAGACATTCTGATCTAGTTTTTTATAATCATGCATGCTTTACTTCACTGCTTGAATGCCAATAAGAGCTTCCTAGAATTCTTTCCTTAATTAGTTAAATCATTGCATCTAATTATTTGGCAGGATGTTTTAAGTATATGTAATTATATCTTCCCTCCATTTTGTGGTGGTGGTGAGCCAAGTACGTGCATCAAGAGAAAATAAATAATACCTACATTAATGCTATCAACAAGAAGCTTGCAGCACTTTGGAAAAACCCACTCATAATTTTAGCACACAGTGGGTGCTCAATACTTTTTAATCTGCCAAACTAAATCAGCCCTACCTTTCTAGGTAAGAGAACTCAGGCAAAGGGAAATGATATTGACCTTATTCCGTTTCAGGCTTTGAAGGTCAACTGTGTGAGCATGGCTGAGACCTTGCACTTGGGAGTATGAAGTTTTAAATCCTGCCTTGCACAAGTCCCTTCTTTTAGTGTGCTTGCTTCTTGCCCTATGAGACAGGACTAGTTCTCACACAGGTGTAGGGCAATGGTGAAGAATAAGATAAAACTGCACATTGGTCATGGCTTTATAATCATGGGCACCAGGTGATGATGTTTTCCGCTTTCATTCTACATGGTCTTAACTCTTACTCCTCTACTATTTGAGGATGTTAACTGCAAAACATGGTCAGAATTTGGGTGAACAAAACTGTTCCCCAGTCTGGTAAATTAAGGATGTTACAAGCCTTTCGGGGTATTGATCTGAGCNGGACTGCTGGGGGCAGAAGTGGGGATGAGTCCAGGTCTCCTTTCCTTACACTATAGCTGGTTCCTGGAGAGGAGGGTGCTGTCCACATGGTGGTGTTTACTTCACTCACAACCCTGATCTTCCCTGACATGAGGAGAGAGCACAGCAATTCATTTTTAAAATTGTCTTTTTTTTCTTCTCATTGCTACCTAGGCCACCTGGGCTCAGCCTGTGAGTTGGGAAGGAAATCATTCCCAAAAAAGGTAGCATGGGAAGGTGTAGCTCAGGGAACGGGTTGGTCCTGCATGCAGCGGGGAGCCAGACCATGCCTGTGGGTCACCCCAGCAGGCTGTACAAGTGGAGGCACACCCAGCCATTAAGGGTTTCTGATGAGCCCCATGGAAGAGGAGATGCCAGTGACTGAAAAATTGATTGGAGAGCACAGATGTCATGGCTCTGGCCAGCTCTGACTCCCACCAGACACTGTAGGATTGGCGTCCAGTGTTCAGTGGATAGGAGCGGGTGCTGTACGGATGAGGCGGAGCCAGGGACTTGGCTACAGTCTCTTCTCATCACTCATGCTTTAAATATAAGCTCTGATGTGATCAAGGCACCAGAGATAAAATGCCTTTCTCAAGCTAAGCAGGCAGGATCTCGTATCCAGTTTGGACAAGACAATGGAAAATAGTCAGGGGGGAAAAAAATCCCTTGTGCTTAACATACGCACATGGGAGTTGAAGAATTTGACACCTTAACATTGTAGAATAAACAAATGTAGGCATGGTTTCCTATGTTTTCTTCAAAATATCTAGACTAGATATGATTTAAGAAGGAATGATTTTAAAAGTTCTTTTCTTTTCAGCTGAAGAATTCTGGATTATCCTTCAAGATGTAGTTCAGGCATCAGCTTCTATGGAAATAACTTCCCAAGCTGCCTCAAGCAGGAAACAAAGTCATCCCTCTTCTGTACATGTTTAATAAATGATTTATTCACCTGTTGGACTTCCTGTCTTTTCCTGCTGGAGCATACACTCAGTGGACTGTGTTTGATGTCCATTTGGGTTTTCTCTGCTTTCCTGCACATCTTCCCATCACCTGTCCCCTACATGCATCCCTATGCCTTCCATGTGGTAAGTGCTAATTAAATTTGCTATTGGAACAGCTTGCTATAGAAGTTTGGGGTGTGGTCTTCTAGAATTCCCAGAGCTGGGAATCAAATCCCTTTTTGTACCTCTGATATTTGAGAGAATCTGATGAAGCCAAGAACCTTTTCCCAGAAAAAGGTACATGCAAAAGAAAATTCCCAGTTATATAGCAGTAAATACACACACACACACCCAACACATTCACAAGGGAGTGCATATAAAACTGTGGAAATCTGAATAAGATAGGTGGAATGCATTCATATCAATATCACAGTTGTGATATTGTACTATATAGTACCACAAGATATTAGCACTAGGAAACTGGGATCTCTTCTGTATTATTTCTTAAAACTTCATGTGAATCTACAATTATTTCAATAAAAATTTCAATAATAAAAAAATTCCTATACATTGTCCTTTGGGAGTTAATGGATCCCCCTGAATCCAGCCATTAATCATAATTTGAGAACTCCCCAGTATAGTCCAATCTATACATTGTTGGATGGGGAAACTGACAGGAAAGGCTGTGCTCAGTCATATGGACTGCTGGGGGCAGAAGTGGGGATGAGTCCAGGTCTCCTTTCCTTACACTATAGCTGGTTCCTGGAATCCTATACATTGTCCTTTGGGAGTTAATGGATCCCCCTGAATCCAGCCATTAATCATAATTTGAGAACTCCCCAGTATAGTCCAATCTATACATTGTTGGATGGGGAAACTGACAGGAAAGGCTGTGCTCAGTCATATGGACTGCTGGGGGCAGAAGTGGGGATGAGTCCAGGTCTCCTTTCCTTACACTATAGCTGGTTCCTGGAGAGGAGGGTGCTGTCCACATGGTGGTGGTAACTTCACTCACACGAAGACAACCCTGATCTTCCCTGACGTGCGGAGAGAGCACAGCAATTCATTTTTAAAATTGTCTTTTTTTTCTTCTCATTGCTACCTAGGCCACCTGGACTCAGCCTGTGAGTTGGGAAGGAAATCATTCCCCAAAAAGGTAATGTGGGAAGGTGTAGCTCAGGGAACTGGTTGGTCCTGCATGCAACGGGGAGCCAGACCATGCCTGTGGGTCACCCCAGCAGGCTGCACAAGTGGAGGCGTAGGAGAGAATGATAAGAAGAGGGTACATCTGGGAAAATGAGAGCAGAAGGACAAAAAGGAGAAGGCAGTGGAGGAAGAGATGAGATGGATGTATTTACGGAGTAGGATTGGCGGGATGGGCAGGACAATGGGCTGCTCAGTAAGCTGCATCCTTTAGGGACACTGGTTATTGCTGTCTCTGTGGTGAGTGCTGGGCACTGAGTATGTCAGATGGTCCAATGGCCAAGATCTTCCTTTCATGGAAATCACTTTGATCTGATGCTAAAGGCTCTCCAATAGTTAAGAGTTTGGGCGCCAAAGCTAGACTATCTAAATATGAATCCCAGCTCCTCTACTTACTAGTTATTTTATCTTATCAAGTTACTTGATCCCTTTCTCCCTCAGCTGCATCATCTGTAAAATGAGGATAACAGCCCCTGCCTCATAATTTGTGAGGATTAAGTGATATAGTACATGTAAAGCATTTAGAAGAGTCCCTGACACATGTGCTTAATAAATGCTGGCCTTATATTTGTCACTACTTGACAGAGGCTCACTTCCTCTTGCTTGTTCCTCCAAAGATGGCAGAAAATTGGTTGGTATCCTTCCTCTAAGAACCAGCCATCATCCTTTAGACACTAACAGGTTTCTCTTTTCCACACACAGTCTGGTCCTTCTTTTGTTTGTGGACCCGACTCCATTGCCGTCCACCACAATCAGAATTTAAAGATGAGTACCTGGCAATTGAGGGGTCTTCCTCAGTGGCTTAGGGAACAATCTTGTGAGGGGAGTTTGTTTCTTTCCATTAGATATGACAGTAGTATGACCATATGTTTCTATCTTTGCAAATGATTTTCAAAGCACTGCCATATGCCTCTATGCTTGCAAATTTACCTGCGGTGAGGAATCTGATTTCTAAATCTTGCCTGGAATCAAGCTAGAGTATTGGCGAACTGAATAATCTGGGAAATAAAGAACAAAATGTTAATATTTTCCCTCTGGCCCTCTGCAAAATGCTTCCCACCTCTTCAGTGTTTCTGGGAGTCTTTAGAACACCTCACATGGACTTTCCAACAAGTCCTCTGTTCATACCCCTCTCTTCTGACAGGTATCAGCTTCATGTGCTGTTCCACCAGATTCTGGGGTTCTCCTGCCAGTCTTCTAGGCATCTGCAATCAAGGGAGACATAGAGTCATCAGAGGTCTCTTCAGAGCGTATGGAGCTTGAACTGGTCTTGAGTGACAAGTGGAGTTCTAGAGATACATGGGCCTATCTGGGAAGCAGGGACAGGCCGAGCAAGTGGTGGAAGCAGGAATGGAACAGATGAGTACACCACTGGGCTGGGACAGGGAGGAGGTAAGCTGAGCTGAGGAGGAGAGCTTTCAGTGAGAAGGCAAGCAGGAGAAGGCCATCCTGAAATGGTTCATGAGGAGGCTATGTGAGAAGGCCACCAGAGAACTGAGGTTTCTTTTGACATGGAAGTGGGGGCCCTTGAGTAATATTCCAGGGCATCGTGGACTATTTAACAGAACTGTTGGTTATATGTTCTTGGGACTTTGGTTCCCCTCAGAGGTGCACTGCCATGTCTACTTAGATATTCTGAGGATTTTCTTTTCACATTTGTAAAAGAAATGTTTTCATTATAGAAGAATCAAATAAGTAAAAAGAAAATAAAAAACAATCCCACTCACCACTCACCAGAAGCAACTGCTGTTAATATCTCACTGCGTATTTTTCTAAAGTACCTTATAAGCATATATTTGTAATGTATATTTAATAAAATTAGGGTTATACATGCTGTTTTATAAGGTACATTTTTCACATAATATATTGTGAATAATGTTCTGTGTTAATAAACATATTTCTTTGATGAGGTTTTTAATAGTTGCACAGTTGGTGACAGTATTCTTAAGGTTTACCCAGCCTTCTGGAGTAGTGAACTTTGCCTTCCATTTCAGAGATTTTATTTTCTGTAACAGGAAAAGAAAATATCCTCTGTAATTAAGAATGGTATCTAGATGTATTGGACATTGCCAGGAAACATGGTAATTTCTCTCTTTTTCTTCAGCCATACTGCAGTGGCTGGGGGAAAGAGCTCTATTACATCTGTGGCAAAGCTCCCTGGCTACATGTATTAAATTCTAATTCCAAGTGAAAGGGCAATACATGTTTACTTTTTCTGAAAACCACACAGGAGTAGATACTAATGAGTTGCAAACATCACTGTTTATCCTGAGAACAGAAGACTTCTGGTATTTGCGCAGGCTGAGCTGCCCAGAACATGGCAGGATTCTCATGGGCAGAGCCATTAAGATGTTGACTGATCAGGTCTTTATCTGGGGGCTTTTGGGGCATAGAAGCCTTGGAGCAAAGAACGTGTTATCAGCCATGGTACCTTTTCCAGATATGATTCTGAGCCAACAAGAGCATAAGACTGACCAATTGTATTAATTCCTGGATTTATTCCTAAGTGATTTTCTCTACGTAACAAGCCTTCTGAATGTTGGCTTGGTGGCAAGGGAAGAGAGGAGGTGTTCTTTTTGCCTCATCTCTCTTTTTCCTTGAATTCACTCCCCCACCCCCATGTCATTCAATGGCTTTGTGTCTATGTGATGTTTTTGATGCTGTTATGTTCTGTTTCCAAAGATCACTAGGCATCTCACAGCAGGCACTAAGGGACTCCAACTGGCATTAGAAGATATTTAGAATCAGAGACGACTTAGAAAGATAAATAATATCAAATACTTAGTGGGCATTTATGATGTAGTTTGGTGTTTTATATTTATAATTTCACTTAATTCTTAGAAGAATCCTATTATTTGGCTATTATAATTATCCCTACTTTATAGATGAGAAAACTGAGACTCAGAAGATAGGTAACTTGCCAAACCCCCACAGGTAGGCAGTTGCAGAACTGGAATTCAAACCAGGTCCATCTGAATCCAGAGCCATTTCTTACCTACATGGCTCTTCTGTCTCATTAAGTTTAGAAGTGAAGGAACTGGAAGGACCAACAACAAAATAAACCTAATGTAAGGTCGAGAGAATTGCTGACAAAAAGATACATCTCATTCTTTCCCCATGTTTAATGTCAATTTTTATACCTTGGCTAAGACTGCCTATTATAAAGCTATATTTGCTCAAGGTTATCTTCTTCCTACCCTGCCCCCCTCATCAGATGATTTTTATTTATAGCTATGCTTAAAAACGTCATAGGCAACAGTCAAGATTTGCTGTATACTGCATTTGCCATCTGAGCAGATTCTTTCTCAAGGCATATTTGCTTCATTCACTCTCTGGTTTTTGCCTAGAAATTAAAAGAACAATTCTTTTTGGTTCGGTTTTAACTTTGTTGCAAGTGTTCCTCAGCTCCAGAACAGAGATGTCAGGCCCAATTAGTTAAGACCAGATTAATCAAACTGGATTTTCAGATCCATTGGCTATTTTCAATTAAGAAAACATTCTAGATCTCTTCTAAAGGAAAAGACATTCTGATCTAGTTTTTTATAATCATGCATGCTTTACTTCACTGCTTGAATGCCAATAAGAGCTTCCTAGAATTCTTTCCTTAATTAGTTAAATCATTGCATCTAATTATTTGGCAGGATGTTTTAAGTATATGTAATTATATCTTCCCTCCATTTTGTGGTGGTGGTGAGCCAAGTACGTGCATCAAGAGAAAATAAATAATACCTACATTAATGCTATCAACAAGAAGCTTGCAGCACTTTGGAAAAACCCACTCATAATTTTAGCACACAGTGGGTGCTCAATACTTTTTAATCTGCCAAACTAAATCAGCCCTACCTTTCTAGGTAAGAGAACTCAGGCAAAGGGAAATGATATTGACCTTATTCCGTTTCAGGCTTTGAAGGTCAACTGTGTGAGCATGGCTGAGACCTTGCACTTGGGAGTATGAAGTTTTAAATCCTGCCTTGCACAAGTCCCTTCTTTTAGTGTGCTTGCTTCTTGCCCTATGAGACAGGACTAGTTCTCACACAGGTGTAGGGCAATGGTGAAGAATAAGATAAAACTGCACATTGGTCATGGCTTTATAATCATGGGCACCAGGTGATGATGTTTTCCGCTTTCATTCTACATGGTCTTAACTCTTACTCCTCTACTATTTGAGGATGTTAACTGCAAAACATGGTCAGAATTTGGGTGAACAAAACTGTTCCCCAGTCTGGTAAATTAAGGATGTTACAAGCCTTTCGGGGTATTGATCTGAGCTACTGTCTTACAGGAACGCCACTGGGGGGTACAAAGGGAAAGCCGAACTGCGGTTTCCGGTAAGGCCAAGCCAGTCAGCCTCGCCAAGAAGGTTGTCTTGAATGAATTTTCAGGCCTGCCATTCGCTATCTAGGGCCGCCTTCAGCCTGTTGGTAGAATGATGCTTTCAAAGCTGCCGAGTGAACGCTGTCCTCCAGCACATCACTTCGGGGCAGAGCCGACAGACGGCTCGGTGTGGGTAGATGGGGAGTCTTGAAGACGGGATCAGGTTCAGCTGTTGGCTTGCGCTTGAAGGTTAAATGTCTTTCGGAAAGCTTCTCTCAGTCGTGTGTACATTACAACTTCTATCTATTCCCAGACCATTTTAAGCATTTAAGAATACAAACCATTTTAACCATTTGAGAATACAAATTCCACCAGGGCAGGTTCCGTTGTCTGTTCGGATGACCCCATCTCTCCCGGGCATGGGATCTAGCACATAGTTGGCTCTTTACGGAGCCAAATATTTCTGTGAATTCGGGGACAATGGGGTGTGAAAACATTTCGCAAACCACTAAGAGATTCATACACCGAGGTCCGATCACAGCGTTTCCGAGCTCTCTTAAAAGCGCGGATCGTAGCCGCTTCTAACACCGCGGAGCCGCAAGTCAGGACGGGCGAGTCCATCTCCTCACAGCCTTCCCTCTAGAAAGTAGGCCACGGCCGGCAAGGGGTGAGTCTCTCGTTCACGGGGGGAACCGGACTCCGAGAACGGCGCACACCTGACGCGTAAGGCGGCGAAGGGCGAAGCTGCGCGGGGCGTGTGGATGCCTGGCCGACATGAGCCCCAGCCATCGTGCCCCACGAGACAGGGTCCGGGGACAGGTGTGTGCCGGGGAAGTCAGGTGCACCTCGCGGCACTGCCACGGCAAATACACCCTTCTCCGCCTACGAGTGACCTAATTACAAGGTACCCGCCGCGCCCAGAGGCGGAGATGCCACTCCAACCAAGCTATCACTCGGCGCCTATTCCTGCACCTGAAGATGCGGGAATTCCCGCTCAGTTCCAGCGCTGTTGCACCTCGGAGACAGGGGCTCGCAATTCTCGTTTCCGCGACTTGGCTGCAGCCACCAAGTGTGGAGAGGAGCGTATCACCTCGGGGAAGTCTCCAGCATCTAGGCTCCCTCCCCTCAGAACTGCGCCTGCGCCGCGCGGAGCGAAAGAGGGCTCAGGAATTAGTCCAATTCCCGGCTGCAAGCGCCGCGCCTGCGCGACTGGGGTTACCTTCCCCCTCAGCCCCTCCCTTCCGCAGGACCACGCCCTAAGAGCGAAGGTGCGTGCCTGTGACCCGCAGCCTAATTTGCGCCTGCGCCTCGGGGTCTACTTCCCGCCCCTGCTGGTCCGGCGGCCGGCGGGGGTTGGCTCTGCAGTTGCGCAGCTCTCGTCCCGGCCCTTCTACCCTCCGCACCCCACCTCCTCCAGACGCCGGGCCTGACGTCACGACGCCGGCGGCCGCCATTACAGAGATCGGAGCTCCGCCGCTGAGCGAGCGGTGGGCAGTGGCCGGTGGCCGAGCACTCCCGGGAGAGCCGGCGGGCTAGCGCTAGCGCCGAGCAGCCGCCTGTAGCCACACAAAGAGCCCGGGAACCGGCAGCGGCGTGTGCGTGTGGCCCGTGGGCGGGCGGCGGCGCGGGAGTAGCGCGGAGCGGCAGCCGTTTCGGGCGGCTGGCATCATGGACGAGAAGGTGTTCACCAAGGAGCTAGACCAGTGGGTCGAGCAGCTGAACGAGTGCAAGCAGCTCTCCGAGTCCCAGGTCAAGAGCCTCTGCGAGAAGGTGAGCTGCACTCTGGCTGTGGGAGCAGCCGCGGGCCGAGCCCGCCGAGGAGGCGGCCGTGGGGAGGGTGCAACATGGCGGAGGCCGCCGGCCCGGGCCTCCCGAGCCTCCCGGACCGGCGCCCGGCCCGGCCCGACTGCGACTCCCGGGCGACCCTGCGCCCCCTGCCTCCCGCGCGGGGATTGGTTGTCGCCGCCACCGCCGCCTAAAATGGCGCCGTTCACGCGACTTCGGGACTTCGGAGCCTCCGGGCCTTGGCGCCGGGCGAGGGGTCTGGGGGGAACGGAGACCCAGTGTGACCTGGCGGGGGACGGTTTTGAGATCCGGATAAGAGAACTTGGATTCTGTGGCCTGGGAACGGGGGCTGTGCTGTGAGGCGGGTTAAGAGACGTTTCACTTGTCTCAGGACTAATTCCTAGGTCCGAAGCTGTCTAGAGGATCCCCCAAAGACATGCTTGTAGTCCAGATCCCAGGACCAACTTAAAGGTCACACAGCTTTAGTACTGTCGCGGGTGGTTTGTGTCCAACTCAGAGCAGTCTTTTCCGGAGACTTTTTTAATGTGTGTTTTTTTTTTTTTTTTTTTAAGAATCTAAAAATCTCTAACCTAGTTCCTGCAAAGATCATGGTAATAGTTACAGGGAGGAATAGAACTTATTTTTCTTAGTTGGAAGAAATGGAGAATTCGGTGAGTCATACTACACAAGGAGCTTTGGGATTGGAAATCAAGTGTCAGTGTAATCTGTGATTTATATGCTGACTCAAATTGGGTAGTGTGAAAGTTAGCCTAATGTACTTGGTATTTTGACGTTTATTTTTAAGATGAGCAACAAAGAGCAGCAAATTTTGTATTTGTTGGAGGAAAAGCAGTTTGTATTTTTGTGGCTCTAAGTAGTACTAATAGCAATAGTGGCTGTCAGTTGAGCTTCAGCTACGTTCCAGACTTTGTGCCTAGTGTTTAAATAATTTATCTCACAGATGTTGAAAATGTAATGTCCATTTAGTAAGTCCACATTAAATTATTTGATTCCGTTTTGTTTTTCCTTAGGGGTTGGGGAAAAGGTAGCCTATTTAGCTATTGGCTGTGTTGTATTTATGAAGACTTATAGCTCAGTTTTCTAAAGTATGGAAAACGCTGATCTCCACTCAGAATATTTTAACTTACCTTTTCAAAATTAAATTTGAAGCATTTCATTTTGATACAGAATTGTGGAATACCATATTCTCATTTTTGTATTAATGAAGAGAGTTATTAAAGAGCAATTAAAATGACTTGTTTGTGGTTTGATGCAAAAATTAGGTTTGTGGGTTTGAGGTATAGGCTCCTAAAACAGGCCTTTTCAGAAATGGTGCTGTGAATAATTGGAACTTAAGTGAGTCAAATTCAGTTTGATTTATTCCAAGCCTGAACAAAACTCTCCTGCTGTTTGATTAGGCGGCAGGCACATCATGTGTTGGAAAGCTAAGTTTTAATGGTAGCAATGTAAAGTCTTGTTGCTTCTTGACTCTTAATTCTCTTGCATCAAATGAGGATGGTGTTTGTTTTAAAGGTGTATAAATAGGTTTTTAAAAGTATTTAATGTGTATCATCAGATCTTTAAGTACTATAAATGATGATTTGAATGCTTACATAAAGACTTTGAGTCAGCAGTTCGCTAGATGACTAGTGATTTGTGTAGAAAACCTTGGAAGATGAATACTGATGTAATTAATTGGAAGGCCACCAGATTGTGATTAGACCTGGACACTAGTCTTTCAGCCATAGTGAATAGTGTGACTGACATTGAGGCAACCATTTCATTAATAGTGAAAAGAGAGCTTGTATTTTTCCTGTCTGTAAACTAAAGAGTTAAAACAGATGTTGCAGGGTCTCTTCTAATCTTCTGAGATTATACAATTCCATTTTAAATTAGTGCTTTGTATTTAAGTGTTGAACACTTACTAATATCCAGAGTTGCTTACTTTTAAGAAAGGAATGCAAAGAGACAGATTAATCCTGCTTACTCTCAAGGAGCCTGAGTCTAATAGGAAATCAGTAATTGATAGACCGTGAAAGTAGAGGGTTTTTGTGTTAGAGATTACAGAAGATGATATTGGGTGCTAAGGTTGGGTAGCTGAAGCTTGATGCAAATAGTAAATGTTCATTGTTTTCAACGTCTTGTAAAAACTAAGATGTAGTGAGATTAATAATTTATGATTAGATATCCCATCCAGTGTGTTGAGATTTTAGTTCTTAAAGTCAAAAAGATGGAAATAATATTTGAAGTTAAATTTCAAGAAATGGATCCTTTGGGGGCGGTATCACACAGCCTTCATGCTGTTTAACTTGTAAATGTTTCAACTTTTGCAACTATATTAACTTTCCAAACTAAATTAATTTGAAGGCAGCTTTTTAGGTATATGAAATGAGTTAGGATGCATAACTTGAAATGATCTTTTGTACAGTCTTTCTAGTAAAATAAAAGCTCTCTTTTCAGTGTTAATGTTTGTATGGTCAATAGGACTCTGGTGGAAGCTACCTTTTCTGAAAATCTTGAAGGGAATATTATTTCATTAAATTTAATGAAATTTCAAACAATTTCATGAAAAGTTATTTTCATTAGTATAATTGCTTTTTAAGAAAAGATAACATTTTGGAGATAGCTGTTTGGTAGTGGTTGATAATTTCTTTGATTATAAGAAGGAATGGCAACGTAGAAGCCTTATATCCACCTGAAGATGCTTGTTCTGAATGAAGTATTTAAATAGTGAAGATAGAAGTGTATCATAAGAGGTCATTGTAATTTACAAATATGGAGGCCATCATAATGTATCCCATCAACAGTTAACAGTCATAGATGTTCATAATACAGAGAATCCAAGCGTCTATTTACATACAAGGATATCAACTAGTTAATTAGGTTATTAACTAGGTAAGCTTTTTTGCCCTCAAGGTGTGATTGAAGTTTTCTATCAGAACCAAGATTTTGGGGGATCATAATTTGTTTATTGTTGGTAAGTGAATGCAGTTTTGTCTTCAGGTACAGTTCTGTAGTCCGTAACATTACTACATCTGTGTAACTGGACTGGTATAATTTCCAGATTGGAAGAAGTAAATAGTATCAACTTGGTTCTGCATTAACTACAGTAAACAGTCCTTTGTTATATGACTTTGGTAGTGGTTTAATTTAGGTATGATATTTGGCTTTGTGCTTTCAAGTCTTACCCAACTTGTGGAGAATGCTGTTTGGTGGCCAGATTTTTTTTTCCCCAAAGGAGTTCTTTACCTAGGTAAGCTGTTTTCCATTGCTCTACAAGCACTATAAATAAAATGCAGTCATTAAGGCTTTGCTTCGTTTTAACATTTGTTAAATTAGTATGGGGAAGCAAACCATCTTTGGATGAGCTGCAGAGTATTTGACCAAGGTTAAATTCATGTATGAAATGGGTGATATGTTTTTGTGAGTCTGTGTGTGTGTTTAATTTGAAAGGTGGTTTGGCTTCTCTCCGTTAAAGTAATTTGAATATTGAGGACAAATAATTGGGGGAAGTGTGATACAGAATAATGTTTTCATCGTACTTTCACATACACAGTTCTCTTCGCAAGTCTATGACACACTGTCCTGAGGTATTGATGGAAACCAGAGGCTCAGAAAGGTAAGGCGACTTGATAACGGGTCAGATTCAAGTAGCCTAGGCTTAGGGATTCCAACCCAATGTTCTAGTCTTGCAATCCACAGCACCCCCTTCTCTTTTCTGAGGTGGTGTTAATAATGAAAAATGCAGGTGAATTGGGGCCAAACTGAACTGTCTTATCAACATTTCTAAAATAAAGCATTATTATTCTGATTGATTGAAAGCTTTCTATTCACATCACGTATTGTCTTGGAGAAGGAAACAGTAATTCTTCAATTTTGGATGTGGCTAACTACATTTGCCTCTGAAATAAGATTAATGAGATGAAAGCCCTGGTTGATTTTCTGTGTTTTCTCAGATCAGGGTCCAGAAACTGAGCTCTAAAATACTCAAATGAAGCATACATGACATTGGTATTGTATTATAGCTTGTAAAGTGGTGTTCTTTTTATCCTGTTCTTTTTATCTTCCACAGTCAGACTTTTTTGTGTCTGTGTGTGTTCCATGATCTCCCAGGCATGGAAGTGGTGTTGCAGTTGGTTTTGAGTTGTTTTAATGAGGACACACTAAAAAGGTGAACAGTATACTCTTTAGACACACAGATCCCCCAATTCTTTGTTTTTCTCCATCAGAGGAACAAGTCCTTTGTCTGCAAATATTGGCAATAAGGCTAAGGTGAAACTCAGGATGTAAGAATGATGGACACTGGAAGAGCATGTGGAATAACATTTATACTGCCTCCCCCTTTTTTTTTTTTTTTTTGGAGAGCGTTATAACCTTTT